TAGAATGGTCACGTTGGCTTGGTTGTTGGATTTCAAAAAAGCTATATGCCGAAATGATCCTGCCTCCCAACTGTCCTGCCTGACTGACCCCATCTGATAGAACTATGAATATTCATTGGGATTAGTGATATATCTAGCCTTCTTTACCAGACTCCCTTAAAATCTAATAAGTTACGGTACTATAGATTAATACTTAATAGGTTTGTTTCCTGTTAGTAGGATCGTTCGGTTAGCTATCGATCTTCAAATTAACTGTCCAAATGAGTTCTACTCACTATATTGTATACTTCTGTATGTATCCTCTTTATGTTAGGATGTAAGTACCTTGTAGTATGCACTTAGGCAAATACACTAGGATAGTTAGTTGCCTGTTATATCGAATGTTGCTATATGTATGTTGATATGTGTGTGGAGTTGAGGGCGGACCAGCCCTGTGTTGAAGGCTAATAGACTCAGGCGGACTAACTTTATGCTAAAGGTAATAAGAAAGCGGACCAGCCACGTGCTGAAGGCTATATAGGGCAAACCAACTATATGTTGAAGGCCAAGGGTGGACCAGCTATAAGTTGAAGGCCACTATGTGTATGCATTGAATATGTGTTGAGGTGTGGAATATTTTGAGGGAATTCAGTAAGCTTCGTCTTACAGTTTTTGAATAACTGCTTTGCATGTTGTTCATCTCATCGTGGGAATGCTCACGCATGACTGTATTCGCATCAAAGCATCAATAAAGTTTTATAGACTTCCGCTGAGTCATTTTTATAACAATCTCAGTAATAACCAGATATAATGTTTTGTAAGACATTTATTTTAAATAAATAAAAATGAAAAAAAATTGCTTTGAAAAATTGGGACGTTACATTGTAACATCCCAAATTTTCCAATAAATTTGAACTTTTTAAATAACATAAATCATTCATTTAACATCTTTTATTAAGGATAAATTTAAAAACAAAACCCAATATCAATTTAATTACCAAAACCATTATCAGTTCTGATTCTATAATTTATGAAAAACACATTTATTCCAATATCAAAAATCCAACATGCCGCCTCGAGCCAATGTGTACAATCATGCTCGGCCATCTTGTGTACCTGAAATAGAGTTTTGAAGGGAAAAACGGGTAAGCACAAAGCTTAATGAATTCCACACATACACATTATCATATCATATACTCCTTATCGTTATACATAGATACAAAGAGTATCAAACACGTAACCATGTGTAACAGCCCAAAAACCAGGAGAAAAATTATTCATTTTTAATTAAGGTTTACAATCATAAGTTTGATTCCAAAATCCATTACATAATCATCATATCAAATCATCAGAGTGACAATATCAATAAATGCGGAAAATGGTGGGGAGTGAATGTTGCGCCATCAAGTCGGACCCTTCCCCTTAGTACCGAAAGTACCTATAACCACAATACAAACTGTAAGCAAAAGCTTAGTGAGTTTTCCCAAAGTACCACATACCAAACATACAACTGGGCCAAGCCTTAGGGTATATTCCAACCCAATAAGCAAGTATGGGCCCTGCCCTGGGGTATATTTCAACCTGATCATACGATAGTGGGCCCCGCCCTGGGGTATATTTCAACCCAACATGCCATATTGGGCCCCACCCTGGGATATATTTCGACCCAATCATGCAAACACACTATATATCACACAACAGCTAACATACTACATAACCGAATAATGGGTCGGCCTTGGTGCCTTCGACCCATGGATACAAGGAGGAGACTCACCTCAGTCTGCTGGTAAATACTAATTGCTTGGCTACTGATCAGGGAAATCCACACTGAACATACACAAATTACCTAATTAGGAATGGTTTAACCATCATGACTATGAGCCTAAATTCCAATCCAACTCCTAAGGTCAACCCCCACCCCCCCCCCCCTCTTTCACCTTACCCTTAATGGATTTAATCATTCCTGACCCAAAACACAATAATGGGCCCTAAGGCCCAAAGGCCCAACTCATAACACTTAAGGCCCACAACAAAAAATTGAGGCCCACCTACCCTAAACATGCAAAATCCCAAAAACTAGCTAAGGCCCAAAATCCACAAAAGTCCAATAATTGTCTAATGGCCCACTGGGGCGTACGCGCAACGTAATACCAGTATGCTTGTCGCACTCGAATCTGAAGCAGTACGCCCAGCGTACTAAGCTGTTAAGCACTTTCAGCCATTAAGTGCTTAATCCATGTAGTCTCTCACACCAACTTCCAGATCTCGGTCATTTAAGAAGTCCTAGGGCATAAAGTTGGCAACTTTATGCCTTTTCATGTTTTATGGGAGCCCAACATCCAATTTTGTCCATCAAGACTCACTTCTAGATCAATGCATGGTGTCATAACAACCATCAAGATAGCATTTTCATGCCTCTAACACACCAAAGGAACTAAGATCTAGCATTACAAGCTTTTGGAGTTACCCAAACTCACAAAAGAGAATCCATGGACCCAAAAGAACTCATAAGCAAACCCTAACTCTATCAAAGGAGACAACAAGGTATGAGCTTTTTACCTTCAAAAGCTTCCTAAAAATTTTAATTTGGCTAAAAATATGTTCATTTTTGTTAAAATTTTGAAGACCATGATTATTTTTCTGGTTAACTTCAATAAATTTGGTAATTTTAATGATTAACTTTATAATTTACTAATATTTGGTTATAGACAATATAACACAAATTATTATATAAAATTTACTAAATTGTTTTAAAATTATTTGAAATTACGTAGGATATACTCCAATTATTTATAATATTCTTCAAATATTTTTAAAATAATAAACATGTTGAAAAAATATTAAAACAAATCTAAGTTGAATAATATAACGTAAAGTAAGTGAGAAGTGGTTTGAAGATGACGATCTAGTGTTGCGATACGTAGCACACGCACAACAGTTTTTAAGTTAGAAGTCTTCCAAAAAACAAACAGCTGCGAGAGGTCAAGTGTTGCGCGTGTGCTGCGCGGTGTAGTAATAAGTAGTCAAAAGTGGTTTTCTAGAAAAACAAACAACACCTAAATCCTGAGGTTTTACTCTGTTTCTTATAGCCCTAGAAACAAAGTAAAAACCTTTAAGGACAGGAGTTCAATCCGTGCAGTTTTCTTCAATCAAGATCAACTTCAAACATGTCAGTTTTAATTATTGTTTCGTCTTTAATTTCGTCCAACAACATAGCAATCTGCTTTTACTCATTTCTTATAATTAGATCTAATCGAGAAGGATCATTCTGATTTCTGGATGAATCTTGGTAATAATATTAATAATAATTGGAGTTATTATCTTGCGACATATCATCGTTTAATCATCTATATTAATTGTTGGTTGTTTGTGAAAACATTTAGATATTTAATCATAAATATTATTTGTTCATTCGTTTGTTTGTCTATTCTAAATAATTCATGATTAGTTCATAATACTAATTATTGGATTGTTTAATATCAAGTATGAAAAATCGACATGTTGATGAGATGCTCATGTTCAATAAAAGTTGCCCCTATCTTTTTCCAACCGAAAATTCATTTAGTATGTTTTTAGTCAATCCGACCTATCTCGTTTTGACGCATACAAAAGATAAATTGACATGAGTTCATTGCACAACATGTTGAACCATTTGTGATCTCAGTAACACGACGACACGTTAGGTAGGGTGTGCATAACTTAACCGGTCCAATTTAAACTGACCGATTGGATTGAATATTCAGTTACAATTGGATCTGATCAGTTACGAAATTTCAAAATCCAATTGGATTGGATTGGTTATTGGATCACTTTGAAAATCTAATGGATAACTCAATCAAACCCAATATTAATCAAATATTATTATCCAATTAATATTATAAAAGATTACAAATATAACCAATTCTCTTAATGATTTTGCATGTTTGAACCTTAGTCGGTGAAGTTGAAGATTTGAAGTGTCGTTTGTTAGTCTTATTTAGCGTAATTATGTGCGATTTAATTTTAATTATTATAATTATAGTTAGTTGTTATTGGATAGAAAATAGATAAGAATTTGTTGGACAATACATAACTCATCAAATATATTCAATGGATAAAACCAATCCAATACAATATTCAATTAGGTTGGTTTGGTTCAATTGCATATAACAAGTTGGATTAGATCTGTTGACAAAATCCAACATCCAATGGTTGGTTGGATTGAATCGGTTCCATCAAAATTCATTGGATTTAAACCGATGGACACTTCTAACGTTAGGTAGAGAGATTTAGTTAAAATGTTTTATTAGATTATATGTTATTTTTTAATTTGTAGTGGTGAATATAAGATTCAAAATTGTGGGTGTCCAATTAAAATACGGTTACAAAATCAAAAGATCGAAAAAAGTTTATTATCATTTTGTTATTTTATATTTAAATTTTTAAAATAGTTATTTATAATTATATTAATTTTTAATTTATCATTAAGTAATTATTACTTTTTAATATTTAAAATATAGTTTAAAAAATATAAAGTAATTGTTGATGTATGAAGTCTGAAATGATGAGTTACATTGCATTGCATTGATGTAGTAATTATTGTAAAAGTTAACGTGTAATGCTTGAAAGATAAGTAACAATTCATTAATGTGAATGGCCTATAAAGCAGTCCTAAAAAACTCAAAAACATACATTTTTAAAGAGTCAATAACATGTCACAAATCTTATCATCTCAAACAAAGACTTACCATATAAAAACAAAAAAAAACAAAAAAAAACAAAAAAAAAAAAAAAAAAAAAAAAAAATTGGTTCATGACTTCGGTTATGGTGTACCAAAGACTTGATCTAGTAGTCAAATAAATGTTTCATGACATCGGGAAAAAAAAAATTGTTCCATTTCATTTTTATCTTTTCCAAGGGACCAAACTGCACGTGATCTCAAAGTGAAGGGACAAAATTTGTAATTTACCCAAACAAAAACACACGACCTTAAACAAAAGAATATGTTGTTTTGAATCATTTCAACGCCTTCCAGCAGGGAATGAAGCGGGGAGGGTTGATTCGCATGCTCGTCACCTTCAGTTCGTTCTTCAAAGAGAATTTAATTACCAATGCCTTTTCGGTGATCAGATATTCCGATATCCGTGAACCACGAGGAATCTATACCTACAGATATTCATCATATCATTACTAGAAATCTAGAAATCAAATTAATGTACGTAAGATCTCTCTCTCATTGATAAGTTTTATACCGGATTCTTGTTTTCCCTCAATTGCATGCTTATATACTGCCATTCATCTCGTTTTCTTATGAATTTGAAGCAATTCTGAATCGGCAATATCACTTTTTATTTAAAAAATCGAGTTAGATCAACAAACGAATTCAAATTTGCATGATGGATCACGATTCACGGGTTATATATTATCCAACGTACCTGAATTCATTGTGTGAGGTTGATGGCATCCAATCGGTGGATTATGTTCGATAATCAAAAACATCAATTAATGCCTCGCTCCAGGACCTGGATTTGAAATCCATGATCATCGTGTTTGCTAAATATATACGTCAGAACATTCTAGAAGCAAGTTAGGTGATCTTTTCGGCATTAAGCCATAATTAATTAATGGTGTAGGGGGGGAGAAAGTCTTTTTAACTTAGATTCTCACTCTAAAAAAAAATCTATTTGCTGTTCCTTCTCACTAATGAAAACTGCTAGGAATTCCATTTTGTGATGTTTGATCATATTTGCAACATTTCCTTTTGACAAATTTTAAACTAAACGTTATACCTTAATTTGTTAAACACTTCAATCCAATTCCTTGATAAGCCATCGTGTTGATTTTACATGCCTTTATATGTAGCATGTCTGAACATCCTTAATGAATCTTAATAACATAACATTTTTCTTGTACGCTTGGCTTCTTTAGGTGCACATAGATTTTATTCCAGCCTCCAAAATGAATCTTAGAATAATGGAGAGAGATCTTCAAAGCCCTAGATCAGCCTCAAATGCCCGAGCTCGGAATAGGAGAAAATCAACTGAGGTTGGTGGGATGTCCAAGTCTAGTACCTCAATTCTTATAAAGATCCAAATTTGGTTACAAACTTTTACCTTATTTACTAACCCGGATGCAATGATAGAATGTTTCCGTATTTTTATAGGCTTTTCCAGATGTCATGAAGGTAAATGGAAGTGATTTGCTCGTGAATGACCAAAACAAATACAGATCAATGTGGATCCGAACATATTCTTCGGTCTGGATGCTTGTGGGCTTCATATTGGTTGTGTATTTAGGTCATCTTTATCTCTGGGGCATGATTGTTGTCATACAAATCTTAATGGCAAGTGAGCTCTTCAATTTACTTAGAAGAGCTCATGAAGATAGGCGTCTTCCAGGCTTCAGACTTCTCAATTGGTAAGAACCCGGCAGTTTGGTTTGTTTACAACTAATCTCCTTAATTATATTGTTGCAATATTGATGATAACATATATATGTATATTTTGAGTAATGAGTAAATGGAAACATGGTTTTACAGGCATTTCTTCTTCACTGCAATGTTGTTCGTGTATGGTCGCATTCTCAGCCAACAGATAATGCATGCTGTAACTCCTGAAAAATTCTTCTACAAGCTTGCAACCAGTTTTATGAAGTATCAGATGGTTATCTGTTATTTCTTGTACATCACAGGTGCAAATTATGTCTTTTTTTAACACCTTTTTTTTATATTGTTTTTGATAACATATATGAGAATTATTCTTGGAAGCTTTTTCTTACAAACTAACACCATAGGTCCTATTTGATACAGGGTTCATGTGGTTCATTCTTACACTAAAGGCGAAGATGTACAAATATCAATTTAGTCAGTATGCATGGACACACATGATATTGATAGTAGTATTCACACAATCGTCCTTCACCGCTGCAAATATCTTTGAAGGGATATTCTGGTAGTCCCAGTTCCCCAAATCATTCTCATTCATTTATTATGATTGTAGTATTATATATTGTTCAAGAGGCAATGATTTATCATCTCTTGAATTCATCAATTTTATTAAATGTTGAAGGTTTCTCCTCCCAGCATCACTTATTGCAATTAATGATGTCGCCGCATATTTCTTTGGTTTTTTCTTTGGGAAGACGCCCCTTATCAAGCTTTCTCCAAAGAAGACATGGGAAGGCTTTTTAGGAGCATCAGTCACAACAGTTATTTCAGCATTTATGGTTAGATTATTTTCAAAGCTAAAAGAATATTTCCCGGTTTATTTTTGTTTTATCACTAGCTAATTAAGAAGTGCACTTCAAGGGTTACTCTATTCTTCTAATTAAATATAGTATTAACTAATCTTTTATATATGTAGCTTGCAAGCGTTTTGGGTCGCTTCCAGTGGTTTACATGCCCAAGAAGGGTATGTTCAAATACCTCATCTGTCCACAATTAAGCAGAAAATGTAATTTTACTACAAGTTGTTCTTTTACAAATTAAGAGACTTCTATGCAGGATTTATCCACAAGTTGGCTGCAATGTGATCCTGGTCCTATCTTTACACCAGAAATATTTGAGTTACCGAGTGGGGTAAGTCAATTTTTAGCATGCACCTGAAAGTATAAGGGTTCTTTTTTTCATTAAGTCGTTGGAATGAGTAATGATGTTTCTACGGATAGAGTGTCGCATACATAAGGTCTGTTTCTTTCCTAGACTGAATGAATACTAAATGACCGTTTTACCCTTACTTTTCAAAAAAACAAACTTCATGTTATCAATAATATTCATCAAATTTAGTGTAAGAGGAGTTGGGAGGAAAAAAGAAAAAAGGAAAATAGGTAAACGATTAGTGTCTTAATACATCCAGTCAGTTTTTTTGCTTAAAAGTTAAAACCCATTAATTAAGTCATTCTGTCTTAGATTATGTCAAAAAGAAACAGCCATGTATAGCTAGCTAGCTAGCTGTCCAGATTAAGTTGTTAACTCATTAGGCCCATTAAGAGCAAGAAACAACACCTAATTAACTTGTCGTAAAACATTGCACGCACGCAGTTGCCATGGAAAGAGATATCAGTTTTACCAGTGCAGTGGCACGCTTTATGCCTTGGTTTGTTTGCATCGGTTATTGCACCATTTGGAGGGTTTTTCGCAAGTGGGTTTAAGAGGGCCTTTAATATCAAGGTGTGTCATGATTGTTATGCTTAAAACCACAACTTTTGCATCTATTAATTATTAATTACATGTTTTCAACTTTCCAGGATTTCGGTGGCAGTATTCCAGGACATGGTGGCTTTACTGATAGAATGGATTGTCAGGTAATTCGCATTTCTCGATTGATGTCCTTCAATATGTTTTGAAACATACAAGCTAATCAAATCATAAATTTATCATCAAATGTTTTTCTTGTGTGTGTGTGTGTGTTTTGTAATGGTTGCAGATGGTTATGGCTGTTTTTGCTTACATCTACCATCAGTCTTTTGTTATCCCACAATATTATCCAGTCGAGATCCTATTGGAACAGGTAGGTATATGAGATAATCTATCATAAATGTGGATTTCTATTATCCTTAATATAATCTCTTATCATCTTCTTCTTTTTTTCTTTCTGGAATAGATATTAGGAAGCCTTAATTTTGAGGAGCAGGTGTTACTACTCACGAAACTGAAGGAAATAATAGACGCGAGACAAATCCAGAATTGATTTGATTTGCTTTGTTCTTCATTTACACACCACAGAAAGTGATATTGGTGGCACTGAATACGTCCATACATACTTGTTAGTATTATATTCATTCATTCTTTAGAGATTTTTTATTCTGTTTTGATTGTGTACGTACCTCCTGAATCACGATGTAATTTAGGATGAAAACAACTGTAATTGCTGTTAGATGCCAACTTGATTCATGTTCTATATATCTCAAACAACTGCATTAGCTGATACTTTGATTGTTCTGGAATTAATTATTTTGTTTTTGTTATATATAAGTTAACCACTAACCAAAATTAGATTTAACTGAAAAATAAAGTTTAAAATCCACATTACATTTAAAAAAAGATTGGGGGTTTTCTTGAATTTTTAAAACCAACACCGAAACACAAACACCCCAATAAGACATAAGTTAGGTATGTTCCAAAAAATGTTTATGCCCTAAATGATCTCCATCCTTATTTCAATATGAAAGTAACACACCTTGTTAATAGCAAGTCTTGAACCAAGATCATTGGTTTAACAATTCCATACATGGTAGGAATGTGATCTACACACATAGATACAAATTTAAGATGCAAGGAAATAACGAAATACAAGAATTTACATTGTGCACGTGCTACATCATCCACAACTGAACTACAGTGATTTCTTATTGGTTTTATAATACAGTTTAGAAGTATGTAGAGAGAAATCGGGCCTAAAATAGCATTCAAAAATCATCAAATGCCACAACACAACAATCTTCTACCGAAGAACATCTGATCACCAAACCTGCCTGGTAAAGCATGTAACTCTTGTAAACCTACTACCTCTAGTCTGATGCCTATTCATCAATCATGATCTAAAGGCCTATCAAAAGGTTTAACTTCTCTATTGTCATCACTTAGTAAACAAATCTGGGGGATTCTTGTACAAAGGATATTTATGAGTTGACTATCTACCATCACTTATCATTAAGCTGATGAAATGATATCTCATCCGAATGTGTTTCGTCCTACTATGATACATTGAACTCTTTCAAAGATAAACTTCATTTTGGTTATTTTTTTACTTCATTCCAAACTCTCATAAGAAGTTTTTCAACCATATTATAAGCTCTTTATTTACATATGCAATAGCCATGTGTTTTGCTTTTGTGGTTGAGTTTTTTTTTTTTTTTTTCCAGAAGTCTAGGCATCCAACTAGCGGTAGTTTCCTCTGAGTGTGAACATATAGCCTTGTAGTGCTAATACCCGAATCTAAACATTTACCCAAATTTGCATCTACAAAGCCTTTTAGAATAACTCACTTCCAAACCTATGACAACATCATAGGTCATGTCCCTTGGCAATCATCAGATTCCACAACACACCACAAATGTTAGACCAAATCCAGTGATAATGTTGGACTATGTTCCAAAAATAAACGTTGGTAAACTTGTATGATTTTAGTCAATTTGCATGAAATTTGGTTTAGTCTCAAGGTGGAGTATGTTAATGATACTGTTTTCATGCACTTTCCAGACTATTGTTGCATTTGAGCTGCACAGTTTTTGCATTACTTTCCTTTTATATGCAACTTTTATTCCATAGTTGTTGCATGTTTTATTGATGGTATAAATTCCGAGTTTATATTTAAATAATGCTTTATTAGTAGATAATTAGGACTCTCATTTGTTTGGGAGAGTTTTCTATTTAAGAGGTTTAAGTGTTATTAGGAAACTTTGTATGACTATTATATAAAGCCCATTAGTCTCTTGGTTTTAGATTATTCATGAATATTTTCTATTATATAAAACCCATTAGTCTCTTGGTTTTAGATTATTCATGAATATTTTCTTCTTCTTTCACGCAACAGAAGCTTCTTGTACCTTCCTTGTATTGAAGGTTTATAGTAGCAATAAGGCTGGAGGGTGTGGTGTCACCGAAACCGCACTCCCTCCCCCGCCACATAAGCGTCATGTCATTTTTTACCACTCAAGTGTGGTTTCTTGCCACACCAAGGGGAATGGTGCCACACATTCTTTTTTTTTTTTTTTTTTTTTTAACTATTTTAATTTAATAAAACTTCTTTTTTTTTAACTATTTTAATTTAATAAAACTTCTATTTTAATAAAAAAACATAATTTTTCATTACTTGAAAATTAAAAAAAAAAAACATTACATTGTATTACCAAAAAAAAATAAAAAAAAAACACGAAAACCACACACATGACATTTAAATAATCCTAGAAACTTAAAAAACACAAATAAAATAACTATATCTTCGTGTTCTCCGTTGAGAACTTGCAGCTGCGTTGTTACATACAACGTTGTATGTTTGTTTCGCCATTTGAACACATGCAATAGCGGTATTAAAAATAGTCTGAAATTCTGCAGAAGATGAAGAAGATGACATTTTTAAGAGAGTGTTGATTTTTTTAAAAAAGTTTTTTGAGAGAAAGAAGAGATTGTGTTGTGAAAAAAAAAATGAAGTTAGATATGCATATATAAGAAAGAAAAAGCAAAAAAAAAAAAAAAAAAAAAAAAAAAAAAAAAAAAGAAAAAATTAAATACCCAACTCAATCCTCCCATTTTCCCATCCACCAATCAGCAAACGCGGCACTTAAGGACCGCACTGCGGCCAAGACCGCACCAGACCGCGGTCTGGGGGCGGTGTTCTTGGTTGACGTGGCATAAACTGCGGTCTGGGACCGCGCCCACACCCTTCAGCCTAAGAAGTATCGTTTGTGGTTTTCCTGTTTCGGGTTTCAAGTCATAGGTTTGGTGTTTTGTGGTTGTTCACACAGTTGATATGAGATGTCGTTAGATGTTTCACTTAACTAACATGGCGTCGTGATCACCAAATGAAGATGGTTTGAGGTGTTTAAGTATCGTCTTTTACTCAAATTTCACCATTAGATGTAAAAAAAGAACATTTTCAACAGGTGGTTGCTGACCCTTGTTTAAAAAAAATAAAAAAAAAATTAAAAAAGATCAAGACATAACTTTTCTAAATAGCAGGGTGTACAAGTGTAACTCAGGCTCAAGAGTTGTAAGCAAACTACAAGAACTCCTATCGGTGATAAAACTATAAGCTTAGCTTACTTGAGATTTTTGGGTGTCAGTTTCAAGTTTGGGTTTCTTCATTTGCATCTTTTTTGTCCATAGCTATGGTCACACCAACTTCAGCTGGTCGTAGAATTCGATCATGCAACATGTATCCTGCCTGCAAAACCAACCACAATATTACATCACCAATGCTGATGCAACTGTTTAATAACATAAAAATGCTAGTTTAATTTTGGCATAAAAATTAATGTTAGCCTGTTAACTGTTAAGTGAAGTGACATGCATACCTTGAGCACAACTGCAACTTGATCAGGTGGGTTGGTTGGATCAGGTACTTGGAATACAGCATTATGCCTGTTGGGGTCAAATTCTTCATTTGTGGGATCATATTTTTCCACTCCGAATTTTTTGAAAACCTGAAACCACCAAATTCATTACCTATGTTGGAAGAAAGTATAGTCCCTTCGAAAATATTTTCTTAACAATTTAAAACTTGTGGGACCATATCTATGACGTCCCTCATCTCACATAACAAGTACCCTGAATTGAAATTAAAACCGAAAAGCACAAGAACATTCATAAAAAGGAAGGATTATAAAAAGAGTTATTTGGGTCACTTGGTAACAAAGATTTTGAATATTTGGTCACCAAGTGCTCAAGTGGGTATTTATTAACATTAAAACTGTAAATATACTAATATAGTGAGTGACCTCTTTAACATAAAAGTGCTAGTTCAGTAACTTAATTGAAACACTAAACATAAATATTCAACATGTCCATGCTGACTGCACAGATTTCACATTATACCAGCGCCAATTCATAACTAATTGGGTAATGATTCAACACCAAAGAAATGTAAGTACATATAGTGACATATTTAACACAAAAATCTCATCATACATTACAGTACAAGGAGTCAATAACAGATCACAAATCTCATCATCACAGACAAAGACTTACCACATAAAAAATAAAAATAAAAAAGTGGTTTTGATCATGACTTTGGTTATGGTGTACCAAAGACTTGATCTAGTAGTCAAATAAATGTTTCATGACATCAGAAAAATAACTAAACCAATTCAAAGATTCGAGCAATCAATAGTTCAATACCCTCCCTCCTTATGCTAAAACCATTGTTCCATTTTTTTTCCAAGGGACCAAAACTGTATGTGATCTCAAAGTCAAGGGACAAAATTTAAAATTTACCACAACAAAAACAAAAACTTAAAACAAAAGAATTTATTACCTCTGCTAGTTGTTTTTCAGTCATCTCAACGCCTTCCAGCAGGGTTTTTAAAAGTGGCACAGCTCCAGTAGTGTCTTGAGACGTATCGATCTTAGTAAAACTCTCTTTTACCACTGAAGAAGCTCTACCCAAATTATCTGCAACATCCAGTAAGCTCTTGGCAAAATTCTGCAGCTTTAAACATGTTAAACTACTAGTAACATGACAACATAAAATACATTCAGTTAGGATACTTTTAAACCACTAACATAAAACCTGTATTGCAAACTTCTTTGAGTTCTCTGCTTCTCTTTTTGTCCTCTCCATTACATTTTCCATTTCGGCATATGTTCGAAGAATTTTATCTTTCATTTCCTCAATCTCTTTATGCTTTGTCTTCAGAAGTCTCTCTTTCTCAACCACAAGTTTGACCAGATCCTCCACTGACAGCTCTTCCTCATCTGAATCCGACTCTGAAAGAAAGAACTAATTCAGTAAGTAACCTTCCTGGTAAAGACTAAAGAGATTGGATGTATTTAATCTGGTTTCCAATTACAAACCTTCTTCTTTCTGATCAGAGGCGTCTGTTTTACTAGGATTTTCTGCATCTGTACTTTCTTTAGCATCATTGGGAATACCTGTAGTGTCTCCCTCATTTTGGGAAGTTCCGTTTTCTTTGGATTGTAGAGATGCAGATGATGATATTCCAAATCTTTGAATGAAGTGTAAATTAAGAACAGGATTGTACAATTCCGTTTGACCTGTTACGACCTGTAGAACACAAACAAGCCTTAGATGCGGGCAATGATTATACACTTGGATAAATTCCATAAAGACGCCTTAGGTGTGTAATTTTCAAATAACAAAGCACCAACTTCAATAAAACCAAGAGTTCCCTGTGATTATAGGGAACTTGAAGAGCGTAAAAGACATTGTAAAGACATTTTACTTCACGGTTTTAGATAATTCAAGATAGCCGATTTTGGCCTTCATTTCACACAAAATACATCGAATTGCCTGTAAGATCTTACTTGTAAACTTCTCTTGAATAATCTAGGAATATCAATGCCACACGGTGAGCAAGACAAGATCGTGACAATATACAGACATACAGTATCATGAATACAGTCTTATGCTTGCTAAAACCCTGAAGAAATCTAAACGGTGAAAACAGAAACAATAAACACAAAATTGTCGAATACAATCAACTACCTGTAAAACCCTAGTTAAACCCTAGGCTATAAAAAAAATTAGAAATGAACAATTGTAGAAATCAAATCAAATCAAATAGCGATTACCTTGTCTTGGGAAGATTGGAGCGAGTGGAAAGCATTCCGGATGACTGGAATGAACTTCTGATTATCATGCGCTGCATGGAAGATTAAGGAGCCTCGACACCGAGTCACCACACTCCTTGAAATCTGGGAAATGATGCCGCCGGCCACCATCTCTCATGCGATAAACAAATGATCGGTAGCAGATGTACTGCAATCAATGAAAGATTCGTAGATGAAGAAAAAACAATCAGGATTTTAGGAATTTTGCTTCCAAAATATGGAAGAAAGAAATGGGCGGGGAAAAGTACCTTCGAGAATGCCATCCCTCTAAAGAAAATGACGCATTTACCCTTCTTTGATTATTTTAGGGCAAATTCTCGTTAAAAATAGGGATCATTCATTTAACCAAGTGGAATCCAACCGGACCGAAAAATGGAATTGAAACCACGGTATTCAGTTCGATTTTTGGTTACCTATTTCCCATTAAACTAAACTAGTTCTGTTTTTTTGGTTCTCCGTCGAATATGAAACCAACATATCCCTAAAGAACAAATTTCTTAACCGAACTGAACCAAATCAAAACCGAAACTGAACCGGAAGGTCTCTACAGTTTGTTTTTGTTGCGCATTTGGTCTCTGTCTTACCTAAAAAGACTATTTTACCCTTAATTTTTTAATTTATTTAAATAATGTGGGGAAGGTAAGGTGAGGTGGAAGTGAGGTTTGGGTGTGTTTATTTAAATAAATTAAAAAATCAAAGGCAAAATAGTCTTTTTAGGTAAGACAGAGACCAAGCACGCAACAAAAACAATCAGTAGGGATCTTCCGTGTTAAAAAAAATAAGTTACGGACCAAACATGCAAATTACCCCAAACCATAGGGACCATTCGTGTAATTTACTCTATAAGTTTCAAAAATATAATTTTTGTCAAAATCCTATCTTATTAATATTTTAAACATTTTTATAATCATTTATTATATACAAAATTTCTCGAAGGACTAATTTTGGTAGATTCACGCCCACCCAATACAACTCGACAATTGTTCGTGATGCATCTTTTTTCTTGCAAGAATCAAAACGTTTGTCACTCACTAATTATTATTACATTACATTAAAAAATACTTAGTAGGGATTAAAATGTTACATTACATTACCTAAATAAAGTGAGACTTGAACTCATCACCTCTCAATTGAGAGTGTCACTTCTTACCTCTAAGTCGAATGCAGTTGGTTTTAAGCCTTTTATTTTAAATACTAAGAATGTCTCTTCCGATGGGATCATCTATATAAATATGATTAGATGGGTGTGTGTTTTTAAGCTTGTCGTTATTAGGTGTTTTGGATATGTGTTATTCTTTGAGGGTTCAAGTCACATAGTGTACAAAATCTATAAATATAGGAATATGGTTAGATGGGTGTGTGTCTGTATGTTAGCTGCTTTAAAAAAATACTCACAATGCCTAAAATACTCATTGGCATTATGAATGAGTGTTGTGATGTTATTTCTATAGATGATCTCATATGAAGCGAACAAAACATCATCATCGAACAATTCATGTTCCTCCATAAGTCATTCTTGCTTATTTTAGGATTTTTTTTTTAAGTTGTTTTTTTGTCTTCTCAAGACCGCTGAATAATAAATAATGCAAAACAAACATATTAAGAATTTGATATATTCATATATAATTGGAGTATCATTATCATTGTTGGCTATTTATAGTGTCATATTCGAGAAACCAAAGATACTAGAGTATTATATCCCAAAAATGTTTACATGCGAGTTTGTATATCATAAAATTAACATAACAATAAATTAGCAATAATAGTTAGCGGGAAACCCTATCGAGATTCTACATAAAGTAGCATCGTGAATTTAAAGAATCTCGCTATTTGGAGCGAGTAGATTTACATGGTAAACAATCCTTACATGCTCGCTTGCATATGTTTATATGTAGATTATTGGTTAAGACTCATATATTATATCTAGCATGTGTAATAAAGCATATCAAATACATTCATTTATTGAGTTTATTGATGAACATATCGTTACAAATAAATGAATAATCAATGATAAGTACAATGATAGTCTAAATATCGTCGATATATCATAATAAGTTGTTTGAAGAATCGATGTTTTACATTATGAGAAGGCAAACAAGCTATTTAAAAATATATCAAATGGGGTAGGTTGAACATGTGTAGATATTTGAAGGGTTTAATTAATCATTATTTTTGCATGAGAAGACAAACAAACACTTTATTATGTTAATATATTTATTTTTAATCATTGCATGATACAACATCTATGAATTACATGGTGCTCGAAACACAATGATTACATAAAATCTTCAATGGCCATTATATTCTATCTTTCGATTCGATGGGATCATCTACACAAAATAAGATCACAACACATATCTAGAACGCCAATTCACATTTCAAGAACTTGCGAGTGTTAGTTATATCGGTTACACTTTTAAAAATCATATAGTAGTCGGCGGGAGGCTCAAAGGTTTGTGTTTATACTTTCATTGAAAGTTGTAACATCCATAAAAATTCATAAAATTTTAAACTTTTCAAACAATTTCACAACCATCATTGTTTACAAAAATAGTTTCCAAAACATGTTTATTATCAGAGTTTTTTCCAAAATCATAAATCAAACACGAGGAGGTGTACGATCACGCTTTTTCCTTCCAGTGATCATCTGAGGTACCTGAAACGTAAACCAAAACTGTAAGACCAAAGCCTAGTGAGTTCCCCCAAAACACAAACCCAACATAAATACAATAAGCAGCATGCATACAGTGCCTTCAGTCTAACTGGAACGCCCCACCGATCTGCAGTCTACCTAGTATGCTCACAAAACCTACAGCATGACTGGCACGCCTCACCGAGCATTCATCCTATCTGGAACGTTCTCTGGGCCTTCGGCCTGACTGGTACGCCCCACTAGCCTTCAGTCTATCCGGAACGCCTTGGGTCTGTTGGCCTTCAGCACAAAGTAGGACCGCCTCAACCCAACCACACACACACACTGTAACGCCTCAAAATTCAAGACAAATTTTTCATTTTTAATTCTCAAAATATACTCATGAATTCAATTCATCACATAAATTGTAAGTTATTATCAAAACAATATCAGAGTATCCCAAAATCCTCCAATCTCCATAAGCCGACGGATGTGTACAATCGTGCCTTCGCCTTCTCGGAATCTACAGAAGTACCTGAAACACATTTAACTCAACACGGTAAGCACGAAGCTTAGTGAGTTCCCTAAAATACCACACACAAATAATTAGCCTCTCATGGCTATATCTCACTAAGGACCCTCTGGTCATGTGTCTCGGTGAAGACCCTTCGGTCTCACGGCTCGGGTTGGACCCTTCAGTCCTGTATATCAGTGAAGACCCTCCGGTCTCACATGTAACATCCGGATTCCCAGGTATATTATTTTAATTATTTATTTTTGAGGTTCATTGATCTACTCGACGAGTTGGTGCTATAACTCGCCGAGTAGAAGCGGGTGTGGCCACGTGAGTTTAATGATCTACTCGACGAGCCCGAGAGTAGACTCGTCGAGTGGGCGTTGTGAGTGGAAACCCTAGATCCCCGGGTTTGGGGCCTATTTAAAGGCACTTATAGCCTCATTTGCGGCCACACCTCACTGAGAAGAAACCCTAATCTCCCCCTTGAGCTTTTGAGAGAATTTTGAGCCTTACTTGAGATTTGTGGGTGCATTTTGGTAGAGGAAAGGAGAATTCCAAGCAAGGATTGTGAAGAGGCTGTTAGATCTGCTGCTTATACGTCCAAGAGCTTCTGTTAGAGGTATCAAGTTCGAACCTTTCTCTTTTGTTTAAGTAGATCTCTCATTTTGAAGATTAGGGTTTCTTTTCCTTATATTTTGGGACTTTGAGGATTTGGGGTTCCTGAGGAGGCTTGAACTCCAGATTTGGACCTTAGGAGGTCCCTAACATCTAAAGGTTCCTGCTTTATTCAGCCTTGATGGAAATTTATGAGTGAAAACCCCATTTAGATCGCATTCTTGGCATTTCATGCCCAAAATGCCATATATGGACGTAAAGCCTATGACTTTACGTGATAAATGAGCCCTGAGAGTATGGATCTGGAGTTTGGGAAAGTGTCCTGCCTTAAAGTCGTCTGAATGCAAGTTAAATCTGAATGGACTCGCCGAGTTGATGAGCCGACTCGGTGAGTAGATTAGGGTTGTACCGATTAGCTGGATCAGGCGAAAGCTCGGCGAGTTAGGGGTTAACTCGACGGGCTGGACCTTCATGAGATTGTCGAGAATCGATGGGACTCGACGAGTCGCACGAGTGCACTCGACGAGTCTGGTCAATTTGGGGCTGTTGACTGGAATTGACTTCTGTTGACTTTAGGGTTGGTCAAATGAGTGATGGAGGTCAGGAAGGGGTAAAATGGTCTTTTACCCATTTCTAAGGCTAGAGTGTAAGAGAGATCGACGTTTAGTGCATTTGAGTGTGAGGAGAGTATTAATTAGATATATTATCCTTGTGATAGGCAGAGGCTAGATCGAGGATTCCGAGCACGAGACTTTTGCTTGCTAGCTTACGAGGTGAGTCTTCTCACTATACTTTACCTAGAGTGGTATCTAGGTGTGACCAGAGGGTCTTATGTGTTTATTTGAGTACTGTGATATTATTGCATTATATCTATATGATTTATGCTATGTGTTATTCAGAGTTTACAGAGTTAGGACCGGAGGGTCCACAAAGTTAGGACCAGAGGGTCTATCAGAGTTGTAGGACTGGAGGGTCCCACTGAGACACATTGACCGGAGGGTCTTACAGAGTTATAGCCTCGAGTGGCTAATGTGTTGTATGTGGTATTTTGGGGAACTCACTAAGCTTCATGATTATTGTGTTATGTGTTATGTGTTTCAGGTACTTCTGATGATCACGGGAAGGCCCCGGCTTGATTGTACACACACTTGCTTTGGAGATATAGTTTGGAGGATCCTGGTTTATGTGATAAACAACTTTTGATAAATAACTTGTATTAATGTTGACACTTGAGATTTTTGGGAAATATGACATCTGATTTTTATGTTTGAAATGAAAATTTTGGTTTGAAAAAAAAAATTACGTTGTTACAAGTTGGTATCAGAGCCTTGGTTTGAGGGATTTGGATGCACCTTCGGGTGTGTTTGGACTCAAACTGAGGATTTGAGAAGATTTTTCAAAAGAAATGAATTTTTCTAAAAAGAGAAAGAGTTTTAAGAGAAACCGAGATGGAGCGGTGTGTACAATCAGCCAGAGCCCGAATGGTGATTTCCCAAAAT